GTTTGCAAAGGACCTACTGAAGCAATGAAAACAGTGAGCAGGAAGTGTGTTCCATTGCACACAGATTTCTGACTCATAAAACAGTCTGAAAATGTCCCTGCAGAGGAAAGAAATAGTATGGTTCACCCAGGAAGTGGCCAGAGCTTGGGGAACAGGGTTTGGCTCAGAGTCATTTGATAGCAGCATAAAGTAACAAAATGTGAATTCCATTTGGTTCTTGTCCTCGGGGAACTGAGCTTCTACATAGGGGCCTTTAGGAATACTTGAGTACTCTCAGTGCATCTTTCTGAAATTTAGTTTTTGTCTAAGTAACCAGCCAGGCCTCTTTTTTTGGAGGCGGGGGAGGGGTGCATAGGGGTTTTGACTGTTTTCAAATGGAGAGAATATTTTTTGAATGAGGGTCAAGTTTTCTAATGCCCAGTGAGCAAATTAATAAATAATGTAAGTAAATAATGCTCTTACGGAGACTGAATTTTTTTTCGAATTATATGAGAAATCTTATTTAGAAAGTTACAGAGGTAATAGAAGGTACTTTGCCTGGGGGAAGGAGAAGGGGAAGGGAAAGGTGCAGGTGGGTTCCCTAAAGGGACAGCTGCCCAGAGATGGAATTTTTGATATGTAAATTTGTAAGGGCAATTTAAATAACCGGCTCTAATACTGACCTTCACCCTTCACCCAGCTTTAATCCTTTCCCAACTTAATCCTGTACTTGGTGAAACTGATTCTATTCAGACATAGGGGAATCTCTTCAAGAAGTGTGTTGATCAGGATCATTGAATCCAAACTGTAATGGCAGGTCACTGAGAATTAATTTCTTGAAGACCTTTTAGGAAATCTTCCACAGGAAAATGTGGTTCAAGGTGACCAGATAGTTTCCTTTCAGGAAAACATAGGAGAGAAATGATTGCATGTCATCCCAATAATGGAATTGAGATTTTTAGCCTTTACTGTTTTAATGATGACGGTGGTGAGGGGATTGGGGCATGCACATGGAGTATACACAACTGAATAAAGGGCAGTTAAAATCCATAGGAGCAAAGATAATTTAGGTTTAAAAAAGTACCTAAGATTAATTGAATTTGGAGACTACTTTTAAGTACTTTCAGATACAAAGACCCTGTGTAGTCTGTGGTCCAACTGAATGTTACTCATTGAAGGCCAAGGAGCAATATGTTGGGAAGGGACCTGAATCAAGCTTGATGCTTTGAACACTGTTTCTGAGAGCATCAAAGAAAGCTATTCAGTGGGACAGGACATGACCCACGTGACCAGGATGCAGTATTGAGACCCGTGGGTAGTTTGATTGAAAAGCCTTTTAATCTCAGTGGGGAAAAAGATGCTTATGAGGGGCAGAAACCTAACCCCTGACAGGGATGTACAGATGAAAGGTCGCTGCTAGTCGCACTTTCTTGGCATGGGGAGACCAAACCAAGACAGTCAGAAGGCTTGATCTATGTGGGTCAGCAGTTACTGAGGAGAAATGAGAATCAGGAGGCTCGTTTGATTGACAATAGAATTGACCGACTGTGCCACATGAATGAAGGGAGGAGTTTTGTATGAATTCTGAGGAGCCGTGCAGGTAAGGGAGGAGTTGAGAGTTCTCTAAGAAAAGCAGCTAGGCCAGGTCATGGATCAAGGAGGACCCACATGGACATTTAATCCGAGCAGGAGTCCAATTTTTAAAAGGAAAAACATGGATATCAAAAAGGTAATGGAAGAAAGGTCTTATTTCTCTGGTAACTATTTTTCTAGCTAAGCCAGTTGAGAGGGTTCATAGAAGGACACTGAGATTGGCTGGACAATAGCAGTCCCTGAAAGGGAGACTTTCATTTCTAGGATCAGCTGGGATCAAAGATGGGACGGACAGATCTTGTCTGGGCTTGGAAAGAGCTGCTGTAACTCTTGAGTATAAGCAAAGAGGATTCACACTGATTTCCTTTCTGGCAGTATGTGGGAACTTGCTGTGCCAATTAAAGGCATTTACTTCATGGAATTTCAAGTATTACACCATCTTCAAATTAAAATATTAGCCAAAGTACAACAAAACCAAAGTTTTCTCCTTGCACCAAATGAAATATAAAAGAAGCCAAAAGTAGAGTCTACTTATCAGATGAAAGTTGTAACGAAAAAATTGTTGGGATAAAGAAAAAGATCTTTTAGTGCCTTTTATCTCCAATTGCTACAATAAATATTCTGTCTTTACAAAAGGGGGAGCCCCATCTACATATTATGGACAGTTTTCCAAATAGTGATTGCAAAATGTGCAAACTAATTTTGTTGGTGCTTTTGTGCCACAAAATTGCCAAGGAAAGGAAGGAGGTAGCTAACTAATTTCCAAATTCAGATGAATAAAGGGTATCAGATTTGCTCCTCAATCACGGAGCAGGCAGGAGGAGTTTGGAGAGCCGGTGTGAAGCCACAGTATGTTATCAGCCTACCTTTCCTGCCCACAGGTCCCTTCCAGATCTCCACAGATGGGACAACAGCCTCTTGAGCTGGCCGTATTTGTTACTCTTTCGTCTTTAATTTAGTGGGACAGCCACAGGGATATCTTTAACTTTACCCAGTATGCATTTTCATCTGGTCACTTCTGCCCTTTTAATAAAATGTGAATGAAGTGCGAGGATCTTCCTTTTGCAGTGGGAGGAACCAAGGCACCTGGGTCAAGTCACCACTATCCACTTCAGCCAGAGCCTTGAGCACTAATACCCAGGAGAGAAAATGCTCTCAAGCGCAGTTCTGATTATCCTCAGCCCAGCAGTTGGTCCCTTCTGGGGGGTGGGAGTGTGGAACCCCAGACCCTCACTGCTCCCAGGCTAATGCTACCAGTGGGGCAAAATGTGCCGCCTCTTCCGGTAGGTCATATCTGAGCGGAGGGTTGTGATGAAAACAGAGGCTGAAAATGCGCACAGTGGACCCATTATAATTCCTCCCCAGTCCTCTTGATTCTACAGGGCTCCCTACCTGGACTCCAGTGCCAGGGGATCGGGAAAGCACCTGGCACCTGTCTGCTGTGTAGTAGGTTCCCTGTAAATTCCAATTCACCTTCCCTTTCTTCCTGTCAGTGTGATGTGGTGGTAAAACCCATGGGCTAGATAGTCAGCTGAGTTTGAATGCCATGTAAGTTACTGAGCTTTTCTGAGCCTTAGTTTCCTCAATGGTGATGGCATTTTCCACCTTAAAGAATGGAGGTAAGGACTGCAGGAGGTAAAACATGAGCCTGTGGCTCATTGTAGATGCTCAGTGGGTGATGGTGCCCCTCTTCCCTTCCTTGCCTTAAAGACCTCACGTGTATCTGACCTAGTCTCAGAGGGGCTGATCCGTGCAGCCACCCTGGTTTAAATGAAAAGCGGTGGTGAATGAAGCTAACATCCACCAGAGCAGACACACCAGGCTTCATAAGAGAAGCTAGGACACTCGTTTCAGTGCACAATCATCTCTGCTGTAACACGTGTTCCTATAAAGCACCATGCTGTGCAGAATCACACAAAAACCACAGGATTTATGGGAAAAAATGGGTTAGGGGCATAACACTCAAAAATTTGTCAGTGACACACACACAAAACAGGAACCTAATGATGGCAGTGCATGTTAAATGGTTGAGATGCATAACACTACAATAAGCATGGCACGTTTCCATGAGAAGGCCCGAGGTTTGCTTGTGGAAGCAGGTGTGGAAGGGTTGGAGTTTGTGTGTCGTCCTGAAGTTGTGCAAGGAGCGTTATCTGAAATCAGATGGGAGTTATCATGCCAGATGTGTGTGGCGTATAAGGTGGTAAACTGAGGTAACTGGTAGATGTGTGGGTTTTATATGCCTACGTGACTGGGTTCAGCTGGAGGAAGTCTTCTATGTTCATCTCGTGTTTCTCAAAGGCAAAACCATAGGTAGGCAAACACAAAATCAGCATTATGCTCAAATTGTTCCCCCTTGTATCAGCCACATTGGATTAGATCTGCATTTTCAAAACAAGTGTTTCAGCAGAACTGACTGTACCAGCTTCCTGAAAAAGGACACCTTCCCCCAGGCAGTACCCTAAGGAGAAATATGTAAAATCAATGTAAAACATAAAAACTAACGGGATCATTAACATCTTTTATAAAGTGGTAATCATCTTATAAATATAAAAATTTGAATTCTTTATATATCGGTTACTGTATTCTGGGTAAGTGGACCTATGGGAATAATTGGTAGTAGGGGGATGGGTGGTCCTTGGCTGTGTTTTGTAGTGATTTTGCTTGTGGATTATCTCTTTACATCATCTGCTACCTTGTCGTTCCTCCATTAGCACAGATGAAACACCCTAAGCACCCCGATCGCATATTAACTAACACACAGACTTAAGGGTAGAGCAATAAATAAATAACATGGGTATAACACAGTCAGTAAATTATAGTGTGCTGTGTTCCTTTGAGTCACCTGGATCTCATTTAAAGACCCTCTGTAAATGAATCCTGTATCTAAAAAACATGTGATTATGAACATGTATAATGCTAGGAGAACAGTGGGAATCATATAAATTGTTACTTTAAGATGTAGTATAGGCTAAAAGGGCAGTGGAGTTATCCATAGTTAAACTCTAGGAGAGGTCTGTGAAGCCCAGAAATTGTATGCAGATTTTTGTTGGAAGGAAAAAGTCCTCAGCTTTCATCACATTCCTAAATGGATCTTTGATCTCGAAATGGACAAGAGACACTTATTTAGAAAAATCCATGGAATATAGATTCATATGGGTCATTGAGGGGAATTTAGAGTGATTGATGGCATATCTTAGTGCTGTGAGTCCATTAAGGGGAGCTGTTCTAGTTTTCTCAGAAAGCACTCCAGGGGTCCAATGTCAGTGACAGCGTGGAGCTGGTCTGACCACTGGGTTGATCTTGGATGTCATCCCTGATGTGTTCTCTCAAATTAGCCACATCAGCAGTGAAGGACTCCCTTTCAACAGGGCTTATGCCTTTCACCTGTGTATCTATCTCATGCTTTCCTTCACTTTATTTTTCAGATGGGAACAGCGAGAGTTGCCCAATGGCCGTGTCTATTATGTTGACCACAATACCAAGACCACCACCTGGGAAAGGCCTCTTCCTCCAGGGTAAGGCATGGACAAACAAGACCTGAGACTCTAGAACTGGCACCAAGAGACCCAGTGGCGTCTCCACCACTAACTACTCTAGCCTACTCTTTATTTGCCCCCATTCTCTCCTTTCTCTCTCTTTTTTCCCCTCCTCCCATGGTCTTCCCCTTTTATATTCTTTCCCCTCTCTTCCTATTTTTCCTTCTCCCCTCATGCATTGGGTTGGCCATGACTGATGGCCCTGCACTTTAAGTGGTATTCAGAGCTACTATGGCTGTTGGATCCTGGAGGGAGGAGGGCTGAGAAGGCCTCCAGGGCCATCGCTGTCTCCATGCCCTCAGTCATTCACCTGCAGAGAGATCCTGTCGGGCCAGGTTTTCAATCTTTTTCTGCAGAGGTAGCAAAGTTCAGGGACAATTTATCCTGGGTCTGTTGATTGCTTTTTCTGTTCACTTTATTTTAATTCTGATCTTTCTTCTTAAGATATACTAGGAGTTTTAGAGCATCTCTGCAAGAAACTTGGGCATGGGGAGGCCAAGCTAGAAAGAGTGGTGGTGCATGTCACAGCACCCGGTGCCCAGCTGACCCCTGAAGACAGTGCACTTTTCGTTCCTCTGGGCTTTGCGAGAATGCAGCTTGAGTTCTCCAAAACCAGAGGATGAGTGAGGCTTCCAAGTGAGAGAAGACTATCCAACTTCAAGGGGGAGAGGTTTGGTTCCCTCTCTGCCAGGGACAGAAAGTTCTTTCCACATGTGTCTCCCGGCCCTGAGAGCTTTCAAAAGTGAATGTATTCTGCGCTTAGGAAAGAATCCCCTCCCAGTAAAGCAGCCGTGAAGGGCTCCTGCATAAAACATGAACACTTCTCCCTTCTCAGTTTGCGAGGGAGAGGATGTCAGAGGTGCAGGAGCCCCTGTGCTTTGTTTGGTTCAGCTATCAGGCGTGTGCGAGGTAAATACCACCTCACCTTCTGGTCCTACAAATTTCCATGGATGGGCTGTTCTCAGTTTGTTTTCCAGTAGAATGCTTGGGTTTTCCTTACCCTTCTGGAAATGAAATTCATAATCTGTCATCCTTAGTTTTTGCTCTGTTTCCTACTTTGACTCTAACTTCAGTGCAGTTACCGAAGTTAAACACTGACTTCTTAGGAAAAAAACTAAACACTTTTATTATGGAAATTACCATGGAAATTTTCAAATATGCACAAAGCAGAGAGAATCCCCACATATTCAACACTTAGCTTCAATAATTATCAACTCGTAGCCAGTCTTGCTTCATCTATACCAGGGGTTGGCAAGCTATGGGCCTGTGGACAAAACCCAGCCCTCCATTGGTTTTTGCAAACAAAGTTTTATTGGAACATAGCCACACTAATTTGTTTTCTTATTGCCTATGGCTGCTTTGTGCTCAATGGCAGAGTTGAGTAATTGTGACAGAGTCTGTATAGCCTGCAAAGCCTAAAATACATATTTACTTTGCGGCCCTTTATAGGAAATAGGTGTCACCTCCTGATCTGTAATCTGTACTCCCCCTCTCCCCATCCCATCCGGGATTATTTTGAAGCAAATCCCAGACATCATATAATTTTATCCATATTTTATATGTATTTCTAAAGAAAAAAGTTCTCTTATTTAAAATAAAACCATTATATTATTAACAGTATTTCCTTGCTATCATCAGGTACCCAGTCAGTAGTCAGATTTTTCCAGTTGTGTCACAAATTAATTATTGATTTTTAACAGGATGCATTTGCACACTTGTGCTTTGTGTATTTAACAGCACATCTGTTTAAAAGCAGTGGCAACTCTGTAAGTGTGCTGGTTGCTGCCTCTTAACCTCTCTGGTCTATACATTATATAGGCCTTCACCTGGTGGACTTTCAGATGGAATCTAAATGGAGATATTTAATGGTATCTTCTAAGGATAGCTGAGGTTTTACTCTTCTTTAAGGATGGAGGTGGGATACTAGATTCAGCTTTCTTATTCTTAGGATAGTTTTAATGTTTTATGGGGAGATGGCTCAGCCGTGCACCCTATATAGCCTATTAGTTCTTTCTGAGTTTTAGGCCCAGACCTTTGAGTTCCTGGAATTTACTTCCGTTATGTCACAGGGAACCCAGAGAGAATAGAATGCTGAAGCTTTCATTGCTAGTTAATGGGAGAAGTTTCAATCTGGGGAAGTGGTGAGAGCAATCTTGAAACTAAGATTACCTCAGCAGACCTGGTCACTGAGGAGTGAGACTGAGCCAAAGGATTCACTTTATCAGGGCCACTACCCCCTTTTCTCAGACCCCTGGGACACGTGTATGATGATGACTTATTCTATCCAGGACCCAATAGCCGAGGATGAATGTGGTAATTTGCTTTTTAGTCACCCTTAGGTGGTGCTCAGATGAGAGGTGAGGAGGGAGAGTGATTCATCATCATAGATCACGGGGTTGGGAGGCCCCACAGAGGGAGATGGATCCAACTCAGTCTTGCAGGAAAAGCTGAAGGTGGACTTAAATAAGAATAGGAAGGTGATCCAGACTGGGGGAACAGTGTGAATGTAAAAGGTGTGGTTAAGGAATGATGCTTGGGGCAGTTTTGTTGGAGTGGAAGGTTTGTGTAAAACAAAGATGCTCAAAGTGTGTCCCTCAAGGCTTGTAGGTTTGGTGGAAATATCCTCTGGAACCAAAGAAGAAGGGTAACTGGGTCTCCAGCCACTGCTCTGTGATTGAGATTCTGCATAAGGTTTCATGTGAAATCAGGGGGGAGATTGTGCTGCTTAGAAGTTTGAAATTCACCAGTGCAGATTGAACATGTGTTTATTGCTATTCCTTCCTGAAAACTCACTAAAATGGCAATAAAGGTATAGAAAAGGTATAAACTGTCAACGATAAAGGAATGGAAAAGGAGAAACAGCGTATGGGAGATGCTAATCAAATTTTAGTTGCTGATAGATAAATGGCAGAGCTGAGAAAGCTGAAACCCACACCTATGGAGTGGGGTGTCTACCAGGAAGCCAGTTGATTTGCACCATGGAGCCCTGGAAAGCCTCAGCCGTGGGAGATGCGTGTGTGTGTGATGAAACCAGAAACCTGAAGTTCAGTTTGTAAATTTGTGCAGGAAAGAGATTCCTAGGTTGTCAACTACCACTCCCATCCCTCTGCCAAGGTGTGTGTGCACATATATATACACACGTGCACACACTTTCACACACATAACCTAAACACAGCCTTATTACTGCTGCTGGCATGAGAAGCAGAGAACTGGCCTGGGGGACATACAGCCATAGCTGAAGGCAGGGATGAACTCAGAAAAAAGTATTAAGTAGGGATGCTATTCCCAAGCTAAAAATGGGAGAGTATTTTTTGCTGGGGAAAGTGACTAGTCTAAGGGAAGAGAACTACAGATAGTGATATTTGGGGATCTTCTAATGAAACAGCTGAGTGAAGCCACTGGTCGGCCAGCCCCCACCTGGGCACACAGAGCTTTCAGCCAGCGTTCAGTGGCTCACATTTATTTATTTATTTATTTATTTACTTACTTACTTACTTATTTTAATCCTCACCAGAGGATATGTTTTTATTAATTTTAGAGAGAGAAGACAGGAGAGAGAGAGAAGCATTGAGGTGAGAAACATCAATCGGTTGCCTCTGGTATGCACCCTTACCTAGGATCAAACCCACAACCTAGATATGTGCCCTGACTGGGAATTGAACCTGCAACCTTTTGGTGCAGTCTAGTGGGTCCAATCCAGACAGAATCTGGGAACTAGCCATGAGGCTGGGAACTGCGTGAGGAGAAGCTATATCTAGGGAGGCTTTGACTTTAAAAGGATCATTAAAGAGGTGCAAACAAAAGTCATCTAGGAGTCTAACCCTGAAAACTGAGGAAGATACCAACCTGAAGCATGATAGTCATTTGAGTAAAATAAGAATTCAGGGAGAAGGTAGGGAACAAAGACACTCCAACAGTTTGGAGTCATATAATACAATCTATATTGGGTTCTCTTTGTAGGGGCTAATCCTGTTTTCTTCAGTGATATCTTTTCTTTTTATGTTTTTTGTTGTGTTTTTTTTGTTTGTTTGTTTGTTTTTTAAATATATCTTATTGATTTCAGAAAGGAAAGGCAAGGGAGAGAGAGCTAGAAACATCAATGATGAGAGAAAGTCATTGATCAGCTACCTCCTGCACACCCACTGCTGGGGATAGAGCCCGCAACCCAGACATGTGCCCTGACCAGGAATCAAAGCCCACAGATCTCCTGGATCCTAGGTTGATGCTCAACTGCTCAGCCATGCTGGCTGGGCTTCAGTGATATCTCTTATTTTTTTATTTTATTTTTTAATTTTTTGATGCCTCTTATCTTTTTAAAACCGATTTTCTTTCCACCCCTTCTTCATACTTAGAGTGGAAAATTTCAAGCATACACCAAATTTGAGAGAAGAATACAATGAATTCCTTGTAACCCTCACCTGGTTCTAACAATAACATTTTGTTTCATCTGATCTCCCAGGAGAGGGGACCAACACATTTTAAAGCAAATCCCAGATATCATATTCTTTGATCCATGAATACATCACATATGTCTCTAACAGATGAGATGTTTTCTTTAAGCAACCAAAATACCGTTATCCCACCCAACAAAATTAACACTATCCTTATTTCATGTCGTATCCAGTCTGGGTGTCATTTTTTCTAGTTGTCTTAAAAGTGTTTTTATACTTGATTTGTTTGAATCAGGTCCAAATTCAAGATCAAAACATTGCTTTTGGGCCCGGCTGGGCGTGGCTCAGCAGTTGGGCATTGACCTGTGATCCGGGAGATCGCGGTTTGATTCTGGGTCAGGGCACATGCCCGGGTTTCGGGCTTGATCCCCAGTAGGAGGCTTGCAGGAGGCAGCCGATCAATGACTCTCTCGTCATTGATGTTTCTATCTCTCTCTCTCTCCCTCTCCCTTCCTCTCTCTGAAATCAATAAAGATATATTTAAAAACAAAAAACAAAAACATTGCTTTTGGCTGATATGTCTCATAAGTCTCTTTCAACCTAAAAGTTCCCGCACCCTTTCTTATTTTTTTCAGGCCGTTTATTTGTTGAAGATCCTGGGCATTTGTCTTGTTGAGTTTCTCATATTCTGGATGTGGCTGATTGTGATGTGGTGTAACACACTTCTCTGTCCCTTGTCTTTCCTGTAAACTGGTAGTTAGATATGATTAGATTCAAATTCACCTTTAAAAATGAAGTATAATTTACATACAGTGAGATACACAGATCTCAGATGTGCTGTTTGCTGAGTCTTGACAAATGCATATATACTCATGTAACCTACACCCCATCAAAATGTAAAACATTTTTATCACCCCATGAAGGTCCCTCTCTTATTTTCTTTTGATCACCTCTTCCTTGTGTATGTGGAAATGAAATTAAATCTATCAAGCACTGCTGAAGTTTTTACCATCTAGTCTAGCCCTGCCTTGTCCATGGGAGTTTTAGGACCAACTTTGGAAAGGTTGTTACTCAACAAAGATAATGTGGAGAGTTTTGCTGCTGTTTGCACCATCCTTCCCGTGACCACGCAGCATGTTTTTACTGGCATCTTATGTCAGGATAATTTCTGTTGCCAATGAAAAAACATGGGATCCAAATAAGCTTAAATAATGAAGATAATTTATTGGCTCATGTGTAGGCTTAAATAATGAAGAGAATTTAACAAAATTCTGCATGTAGGTCCTAGTTTCAAGTGAAACCTGAGCTAGTAGCTCAACAATATCACCAAGGGGCTGGGTTTTTTTCTCTACTCTTCTGCTCTGCCATCTGCTGGGTCAACTTCATATTGTATTTGGGTCCAAGATGGCAACCAGTAGCTCCCAGACTACATGTGTTCTCAGTCATATCCCGCAAGGAAAAGAGACTATTTTTCCCAGAATTCCTAGGAAAATTCTCAAGATTCACCGATTGATCAGCAATTGCCCACTTCTGGTCTGGTCAACAGTTTAACTCCTGGGTTGGGAGTAGAGTCATCTTCCAGGACCATATAGATCACCTAAATGGGAATCAGGAGCTGGTGATAAGGAGGGATTGGTTGCTAAGGGTGCAACCACAAATGTCCACTATAATCTTCTAAGCCCCAGAAGCCTCCGTGATTGGGGCCTCCCTGGCTGTGCTACCCCGAGCAGCCAAGCTCCTGTGCCAGATACCACCCTTCACTCTTCCTTGGTCCTTTCTTGTTAGCCATCCTGAGATTTTGCTAGAATTTGAAGGTAGGGGTGGAGTGGTCATTGTATTCATGCTGAGCTTAATGTTTCCAGCTGGGAGAAACGCACAGACCCCCGAGGCAGGTTTTACTATGTGGATCACAACACTCGGACCACCACCTGGCAGCGCCCCACAGCTGAGTATGTGCGCAACTATGAACAGTGGCAG